CAGATATTCAAACCATATTTGTATTGCAAAAACGAGCGATTCGTTCTGTGTACCGTCTAGGCTCTCGGGTATCTCTCAGAGAAAAGTTTAAGGAGACTGGTATCATTACTGTGGCATCACAGTACATTTACTCAAATATTTTATATGCCCGTAAAAGTATACATAATTTCAATAAGAAAGAAGATATCCATAATATTAACCTTAGAGCTAAGTCCAAACTCATGGTACCACGATTTCGTTTAACCAAGGTAAACAACTCTTTTATGGGGAACTGTATACGTTTTTACAATAAGATTCCGGAGCATATATTAAGTTTATCAATTCCTAAGTTTAAAAACTACATTAAAAATATTTTGATCGAAAAATCATATTACAAAGTTGAAGACTACGTGTTAGATAAAGATGTATGGAAAGACGACATGGCTCCAGAATCCACACAAATTTGATTCAAAGTGTATTCCATAGCATTTAAGTTTATTTGAAAAGAACAATCCGTAGAGTTTCTTGCTCGTTCTTCTCAGGGAGGTCAGCGTAGTGAACGAGCAGTAGCTTAACTGTGACATTTTCAAGTGTAAATTTATTTTACCTATGGAATAAATAATCTTTGACTTTGACTTTGACTATGACGTCACCAAATAAATAACTTACATTATTTTCAAAAAATCATAACAAGGCAAATGAGGTACAAAATGACAAAATATTCAAATTAGTGTCTTAAAATAGTCTATATTTTCGAAAAAAAATTAATATATATAGGTCAAAAATTGTGAACATTGATATCGTCATATTTGCACCATATTCCAGTTACTTTTTTTGTCTAATGTAGGTGCGTTCGTAAACTATTTAATTATTTTCAGTTTACAAAAGACCCATACACACATACCTTATAGATTAACATACATAATAATATAATAAAATTAGTTATTTACACGTATGGACCACGACGTATTTACACTAACAAATATAGTTGGATTCCCTCAAATGTTACGAAAAATGTAAGAAACGTAACCTCCTTGCGACGCTATTATCATATTGTATGCAAAACTACAAAACAGCAGAATAACAGGTTTTCTGACAACAGTTTACAGCAAGAGTTGTTGAAAAATTGCATAATGTATAATGAATTATTGACAAACAGTAGTTTTTGCCATGTGTATATATGTATATATTTTTTTTGTTTCAGAGAAAAAAGCAGCAAACGAAGAATATTAGAGACAGTACAAGAATTCTCGTTAGTTTGTAGAGGCCTTATAGGCACCGAGTATGCGCGACAGACGCTTGCGTCGAAGCAACTCGTAGCATGAAACAACTCTAGCAGCTGTCGTCGTAGCTTGCCTCCTTGACTGACAAATAGGATGAGGGTTAACCTTGTGCTCTTTTGTGTGTTCTATTCTAGCCTTGATGGGCGTGAGGTGGGTGTACGTTTAAAAAGTTAAACAAGCTTAGTCGCCAGCACACCGGCAACTCGCTATCACCATGTCGCGGCAACAAATGATTCACGTGTACGCGATCTTCTTGTTTTTGTTTATTTCTAATTAGGAGCTACGCATTCGAAGTCCTTTTTTGCGCGTGTAGCAATATAATCCCATATTCGCCTTATTTGATTAGCATTCGATTTGACACCTGGGCGCACAAAAAATAACTTCGCCTGCGCAGCACATTAGAACTCGCCTCACGTACAAAAGTTGACACTTCTGTTTATCGTGTAGGATTAAAACTGAATGTGATAAATGTTTATTTAAAATGTTAACATGGTGCAAAGCACAATATAAGCTACTCTGTAGCTAATGCCCCATGAAATTAAATCATGTTTTATTTATTGAGTAAATTCAACGAAGATAATAGTGCTCATTGTACATAATACATTGCTTCATATGTACATACCATTTTAAGTTATTTTATGATGTTTTAGGAACTGTATAGAAATAAAAAAATAGACTTTATTCTTTTATTCTTTAAATATTTATTTTATAAGTATTTTATGAGTATGAAGCTACTGCGTGTAAGTTATACAATTTTTTTCGATATCCATAACCTTTTCAACTTGCTAACAATGATCAAAACAATAAACAAATTTTAGTTCACATAATGATTAACAATAGAACAAAATGTATAAATAACACATATTCCTGAGATCTTGACATTCACACAGTCGCTAAACAACTATAATAAAATTGTCAGTAGACATTTCCCGCATAAACTTAATTCAAATAAACACACGTATATCGCTAACTTCTGCTAACCAGTTATTCAGCCTTTTTAATCCGATATATTCTTATCCCAAGCTCAGTATCTAGAGCAACCCATTCAAATTGCGAATCTTCCCTTATTTTTATTTAAGAGTTATTTTGATCAATAGCAGGGGTATTATTACGGCTGGGTACCGTTTCGCCTCTGTCCAAGTATACAGTTATAACTTGCCCAAATAGAAGCATCATGGGTACAGGAGCTGTGAAGGGCCGCCCACTGTAGCTAATAACACTTGGACGTGTAGATTGACCGTCAGACGGCGTAGCTTGATCTCAAGAATCGGAGTCTCGTTTTTCAACCTCCTCGCATTTGCTTATTTCAACAGTGAAGTTCAAGAACTTATCTGGCTCGCAGTGTCTATTCATGACTCGTAAGAAGTTGAGCGCTTGGTCGAGGGTGAGATGGAAGCAATCCTGGCGACTGACGTTTAGTGTAGAGCATTCAAGATCGCAGTGCGTGGATCTCGTGTAAACCAGTTTGCGGGCGTGGTGATGACCGTGAACCGTTACCTGAAACGATATGAATAACGATTGATTTGAGGTCGGTTTTTTTAGTACTCTTTACTGAGATTATATTATTATACAGGGAGACAGGTTGAACGAGATAAATATTTAAAGAGGCAATCGGGTAGCTGATGTGTAATCCATATTCGGATTAAACGTCAGCTAGTCGTTTGCCCCTTAATTAGTAAAAAGAAGAATCGCTCCTAAACATAAGAATAAAATGTTGTGCCATTTTAAATTCAAAAAAACAGCAATGTTTGGGAAGGAGCACGCCGACTAAGAAACGTTTCTCGGTATAGGACCTTAGCACGATTAACCCTAGCTCACTAAACATAATTTGGAGTTACTCTGTCACTAAA